AATGCCCATGTGCACTCTGATTGGCGTAAGTATATTTGCTGTTTTTAAAAAAAAAAAAAAAAGCATGGGCGATATATGGGAAAATGAAGACCGCTAAGGTCTTAAACTTGCAAAAACACTTACATAGTGTTTGGCCTTGCTTAGTCCCAGGTGTAGGATAGAGTCCAAGAGGTTTTGTGTCATTTCCATAAAACTGGTCTAGTTATCGTGCTAACACAAAGGATCTGTGGTGATGATAGCAGCAGCGGCATCTATAGCAAATCCAGAATATCCTCTAAAGCCCCGTTTTGGGTAATAATTATTGAGTCAGAATCCACGACTGATGAATTGATATGATCCAGACCTTAAATGTGCATGTTGCCTGATACAATTATTATTTTCTCTATAAACTAGCGAGTACTGAATGGCCAGAAGGAAACATATCAAAACTTGAAAGGTAAAAATGACATGCAAATACAAACACGCACTTGTTCTCTGGTTTCTACATAAACACCTTTGGATCACATTTAGTCATGTTTAATAGGAGCCATTCTCACCTTGTGTATGGCTGTCAGTGTCTGGGCAGCATCCCTAAGATTTATGATGCAGTTGGATCAACACCAAGGCTAAAATATTTATAAAATGCCGTAGCTTCTTAAAATATTAAAATGTATGCCTAAGATATACAGTAAGGCCATAAGCATTTAGACAAGGATACAGTGTTCATCATTTTGGCTCAGTATGCCACAACATTGAATTTGAAATGAAACTATTAAGATGCATTAAAGTGTGCACATTCAGCATTAAGGCCTCTGTACACAAAGTCTGCATTTTTCATCCAGAATTGTTGCACCTTGAAGAAAAGTATTATGGTTGAGTCAACCACGTTTATACTCCGACTCCAAAACTTTGTCCAACATCAAAGTTTTTGGAATAGGTTTTTTTTTTTCACTGCCATCAAAAGTAGAACAGTGTGATAAACAAACAAATCACAGGACAACTATTGACCATGATCTTATCTGTATGTTTTGAGGCTGTGCCCTGTGTGCACATTTTTCCAATGGCACAGTTTTGATCACCTACTGTATTACTGAACTCGAACTCTGTGTGTGTGTGTGTGTGTGTGTGTGTGTGCGCGCGCGCATGCGTGTGTGTGCATCTGCATTAAGCATCTGCATGGTTTAACACCTTTCATGGAGTTTTGCAGCATTGTGTTGAAAATGAGCAGATAATGTACCTCTTTATTAAAAAAATAATAATTATAATCCACCTGCTTTTGTCGGCGATCATATCATCAATAAATACAACAAAAGCAGTTCCATCAACAGGTTTACATGCCCACACATGACCACGCTTCACAGATGAGGTTGTGTCCTTCCAGATCATGAGAAGTTCCTTGCCTTCTCTACTCTCTTCTCTTCCCATCATTCTGGCAGAAATCTTTGTCTTTCTTTATTTCTTGACTGAATTTGTGACATTTCATGACATAGAATGTGTTTTATGTCCCAGAACTGTACAGGGCTTTTTAGATGTGTTTTGGCATACTGAGTGTTTTTGAGGCTAACCAATGATTTGCATCTTGTGGCAAGCCCAATATATTAACTCTGGTGAAGTCTTCTCTTCATTGTTGACTCAGACATAGATATACCTGCCTGCTAAAAGAGCTTTCCTGAACAGGTTAACTAGACTGAGGGAATTTTTCTTCACCTGTGAAAGAATTCATCCTTCATGCACCTCGGTAGTCCTCTGGACCTTTTGGTGTTCCAGAGCTCATCAGTGTGTTATTTCTTTTTAAGAATGTGACAAATAGTTAATTTGACCGCATTTAATATTTTTACCATTTCTCTGATTGCATTGTGTATGGTATTGTCACACCTTGACGATTTAGCCAGCGTATGCCAACGTATCAAAATTTTGGCGAATATGCTGGCGTACGTCGAATAAGTTATGGGTAAGTTTTGTATAAGTTAAGAGCAATCTGAAGCACGCTGGCATACGTCGTAGTACGGCAAGGTCGTCCAAAGATTTTGCGCATGCACAAAATTTTCGACGTATGCTAGCGTATGGCTCATACGTACTACATACGCAGGCCATAAGTTTTAGGTAAGTTATGTGATCGTTGACACACGTTCACAGACGTTACTTGTAAGTTACTCATAAATCGAAATACGTTGAGATAATGTCTAGTGAACCCAAAACTTATTTCTAACCTATGAGTAACGTATTTTGAACCTATGTGTAACTTATATCGAACTTATCTCCAATGTATATTAGACGTATGTAGACGTATTTGACGTGTTCCGGACGACCACAGAACGTACTGAACGTGTTTCTAACTTACAGCTATCGTATAATGGCGTATTGGCAGCGTTTAGGGGAATTGGTATATAAAAATGAGGTTCACAGGAGGAACCTCTCAGTACTCAAGACTCCATGGTGAGCAGATGTCCATGTCATGTCCACCTCCGAGACATGGAGGATCCGGCGAGGCTGAGACGAGAATACCTACTAGCTGTCCTCTAACATTAGCATGACCTCATCGATTTGACACTGTACCACCTGCGTGCCAATAGAGCCAGGAGAAGAAGAGGTGAACAGAGGTACGGTATGCTGCCTCGAGCTTTGCATAAGTTAGACTATTGTTGGGCATAAGTTGTGGACACTGGCAACACGTAAGCATTCGTTGGTATAAGTTATTGAAATGTTCTATATAAGTTACTAATATGTTATGTATAAGTCCAACTCGTTATGAATACGCTATGTATATGCCCCAAAGTGAAAAAAAAAAAAACATTGTTACTTCAGCGTATGCCAGCATTTTAGAGAAATTTTGATATGTCGGCATACGCTGGCTAAATCTTCAAGGTCTGACAGTACCATTAGATTTTTAGCCAAATGATGGCTGTCTTATGCAACATCAACAGCTAATTGGATTTCATATTGAAAGAGAACAGTAACAGATTCCAAATGAAAATGCCAAACTTCTAATCAACTCCATCTCTTTCATTTGTATATGTGTGAATGAAATAGTGAGGGGAAAACACACATCTGGCCATGGAGGAGCTGTGCAACTTATCGTCCAATTGCTTCTGGTCCTTAATTTGGCTGTAAACACCATCAAATTCATGCTGAAAGCATGTACTTTGAGCTTATGTATTCATTTAATTTCAACTCCAAAATGCTGTGGAAGACAGCTAACACAGTAATAACTTTGTCCGAAGCCAAATATTTATGGAGCCGACTGTATGCTTAATCTTACCTGATAGTGTATGCTGTATACGCTGTATATAGACTCATATATATGAAATGCTCGGAGAAAAAAAAACAATGAAAAGGCTAATTTTTTCTGTAAGACCTGGTAAGCTGCAGGTGTTCCTGTAGTCAAAATGCAAAATCACAATGCTTTAGTGAGAAGTTTTTCACACACACCCTCCAGTTTGTCGTTCTGGAGGGACACAGGGGACCAAGCAAGCTCATCCTTGAAAAAAAAGGGGGAAAAAAACATTAAAAGTTGACAGTACCCAAAAAGATGAAGTTTTTTTTTTTTTTTTTTTTTTTTTGGACAGGCACATATTTTGCTTTTCTTTTTTAAAGATTGTTGTCTTGATGCCTGCAAGCCCGAGAGGGTGTTTTATTCAGATGTATGCACGTACACCTCTCACACTGTTAATAAAGTTGGTTGACACTCCAGGAGAGCAGAACACAAAATCTCCAGTTGAGTCCTCATGGGAGGGGGGAGTTTTTATAGAACATCTTGACAAAGAACAATCTGTTTGACAGTTTAAGAAAATCCTTCCAAAGTTGTGTCTTTTTCATTTAGCCATGGTTTTGTCACAAAGTTTTCTTTCAAAGACAGCAGCCATGGCTGATTCTTGGTGCTTTTCTAGATTTGTTGCAGGGGACACATGGTATGACCAACATTATTTTTCAGGTCAAACTTTTCTCTCAAATGTGATTAATATTTTTCTTGCTGAACTTTCATGATCAACTCTTATTTCCTCCATTATTACACAGAGAATGCAAAATTAGTAAAATCTGTCAGTAAAAAAATCTAATTCAGGTTTTTGAGAGATTGACTCAAATGGCATCACACCCAACCAGATTTTTTTGTTCATAAGTCAGCTTACATCGGCTCACCACTATATTTTGCAGGATCAAGCCTGGCCTTGTATTAATGAAAAGTTCAAATAGTAGATAATATCAGCTATACTTCCCCCACTTACTGAAAAACCACAACAGCCAGTGGAATTCATCTAAATTGTTTCAGTGAAAAAAATAAATGCAATTTATAAAGCTCCCTGGACAATGTCAATTTGCGTGTACAGATTTTATAAAATTCTGAACAATAATTAAAAGGCACAGTACAGTAAACTGCTAATGGTGCATCAGAGAAACCTCATGTTATAATTACCTGTTTACATGAAAAGCCAGTTTAAGTGGAGGTTCAGATGACAGCATTCTTTGGTTAAGAAGACATTTTCTTTTGTTGCTAATTGGCTTTATGCTGCAGTATTCTTCATCTACTTCACAGTCCATGCTTTTCTGGAACTATCTAGTTTTAAGCCATTCCGCGGATCCCATCTATTGCCTTTATAAGACCTACACCGTAGTCGAAAGAGAATTTGTGGCTTCCTTCTTTTCAAAGAAGAACATGAAAGATGCCGACACATCCATATGTAACTTTGGTGACTCATACTGAAGAAGGACAATACCCTTCAAAAGTCTAACTGTTTGCCTCTCTGTCAGCCTGCCCTTGAAAAACGCTCACATTGTGATGCGAATGGTGTGTAACATGAGTTTCTGTGTGTCAGTCGGAAATTTTGTGGCTAGAATTCGCCATATCTACGCATTTCTTGATGTAAAATATGAGTTATCGGTTTTCAAATATCAATCCTGTGTTTACATGAATGAAGGAGCCTGTCTTCCAACAAAATACGCCCGGAAAGGTCATTTGTCAAGCAGCTCATTACGACCTAAAGTTACAATTAGGAGTTAAGCCTATGGGGCGGCATGGCTGATGTGGAGGCATGGCTCAGGAGGCAGAGCGGTTGGTCTGGGAATTAGAAGGTTCTTGGTTCGATCCCCAGCTCCTCCAGAGAATGTGCTAAAGTGTCCTTGAGCAAGACCCTGAACCCCACACTGCTCCTGATGTGAGGGCTGGCACCTTGCATGGCAGCCTCAGCCATCAGGATGAATGAGAGGCATACTTGTAAAGGGCTTTGGGGTCATGTCATGTGACTAGAAAGCGCAATATAAATGCAGTCCATTTACCATTCAAGCGACCTCTAGCGGTCATTTAAATAACTACAATCTCGTTTCCATCATTATCATCGCCGTCAGTAAATCCCTAACCTAATTCTAACCATAACCCCAACCCTAATCCTTACCCAAACTGTGATTTTAAGTGTAAATTCTCAATGTGATTTTAAACTCCGTATCAAAATGTGGCTAAAAGAACCAGAGTGCCGAGGGCCCTGAAGGTTGCCGGCAGTTACAGCTCCAACTGGAGAAAAGTAACTAGCATCAGTCCGCGGATTCAACAGCAAGCCAAGACAAATTCTAGCGAAAGCAACACATTGTCTACACGATATTGGCGTTAAAAAGCTCCAGCTTGGACATCCGCGAAAAAATTAAACCTGTTTAATTTTTTCGCGAATTTCGGTGGTGATGGCGAATGGTCCCGTACCACTGCGAATCAATTCACGGTTCTTTGAATCAATTCTTCTCTGCGAAAGAGGAGAACCGTTTCCTCCGCACACTTCCGCGGGCCAATGCAGCTCTGTGAGAAAGGGGTTTTAGTTACCATTATCGGGCAACTCGACTGAGCAGTCACACTTTCTCATGAGTGACAGACAGCAACGTTTCTGCCATTTAGCAAAAATATAATCTTTAAGTAGTCTAGATCATGAAATCCGATTAGATTTTTTTCTAACCTGAACTTTCACTGTCGTCTGCTGTCAATTTGTGAAGTGCGCCCTCTTCTCAATTCACTTCTGGTTCTTGCTCTGCTTTCAGACAATGATTTTTTTTTACACAATACTGCCACCAAGTGGGTCTAATTAGTATTATTCATTCTATTCCATGATGCTAATAGGAACAGACATCCAAAAATGGGTTTTGACCAGTTTTTATTGCCGCAATTGATCGTGAAAAAAGGTCGACCATGCGGTTACAATGCCCGTAAAAATTTAAATTATATATAGGTTAGTGCCTAATACATACTAATTTCTAAAGACATTATTAAGCGAGGAAATAAATAGATTGATTTTGTCACATGACCTTGACCTTGAAGACCAAAGTCAAATCCAATATGGTGTGTTTGATCAGCATACATGATTTGTCATTAGTGTCCAATACATACCGAAGATCTAAAGCCAACATTAAAGGACTTTTAGGCCGTTTTGTCATTACCTGGGCCTTGTTGCCCGAGGTCAAATCCAATATGTCGAAAACAACCAGCATACATGATTTGCTATTAGTGCCCAATACATACCTAAGCTCTACAAACAATATTAAACAAATATGGGCCATTTTTGTCATATTACCTCGACCTTGAGGCCCAACATCAAATTTGACTGACTGCCTAAGAATGTTCAGCATATATGGTTTCCTATAGATGCCCCAAACACACCTGAGCTCTAATTGCCATATTCAGCAAGTTATAGCAATTTTTGCCATTTGATCTTGACGCCCAATGTCATATTCAACTTGCAGAGAATGTTTGGCTTACATGATTCCCTATAGGTGCCACATTAAGCTGTTATAACACATTTTTGCCATTTGACCTTCACCTTGAGGCTCAAGGTGAAATTCGAACAACCGAGAATGTTTGGCATACGTGATTCCCTTTAGGTGCCTCATACATATCTAAGCTCTAAATGTCATATTAAGCAAGTTATAGCACATTTTTGCCATTTGGCCTTGACCTTGAGGCCCAAGGTCAAATGTGACTGACTCACAATGTTCGGCATACCTGATTCCCTTAGGTAACTCATACATACCTAAGCTCTAAATGCTATATTGAGAGAGCTATAGCACATTTTTGGCATTTGACCATGACATGGAGGCCCAAGGTCAAATGTGACTGACTCACAATGTTTGGCATACCTGACTCCTTTAAGTGCCTCATACATACCTGAGCTCTAAATGCTATATTAAGAGAGTTATAGCACATTTTTGCCATTTGACCCTGACCTGGAGGCCCAAGGTCAAATGTGACTGACTCACAATGTTCGGCATACCTGATTCCCTAGAGGTGCCTCATACATACCTAAGCTCTAAATGCTATATTAAGAGAGTTGTGGCACATTTTTTCCATTTGACTTTGACCTTGAGGCCCAAGGTCAAATGTGACTGACTCACAATGTTCGGCATACCCGATTCCCTATAGGTGCCTCATACATACCCAAGCTCTAAATGCTATATTAAGAGAGTTATAGCACATTTTTGCCATTTGACCGTGACCTGGAGGCCCAAGGTCAAATGTGACTGACTCACAATGTTCAGCATACCTTATTCCCTATGGTATTTCATACGTACCTAAGCTCTAAATGCCATATTAAGAGAGTTATAGCACAAAACACCCCGAAAAATGATGAAGTCCAGACACGTTGCCTAGGTGGCGCTATGAAGGAGCGATTCAATCAAAACGCCGTTTACACCGTTGAAGCAGGTCATGATACTGATTCCATTGCTGTGATTAAAAAAAAATTCATCAGACAGTTTTTGAGAAAATTGCACCTAAGTGCCAAAAATGGCCATTTTCGACATAGAAATGGCTGCCAAGTCTAAACGAACGATTCAATCAAAAAAATTTTTGCTCGGGCATTAACTCGATGACCGATTTGATCACATCCCCAAATTAAAAAAAAATTCAGCAGACTGTTTTTGAGATACGGCTTTAAACGGACGACGCCGACGCCGACAACACCGCCGGACGCAAAGTAAGGATCATAGGTCACTGGCCTACGGCCGGCAACCTAAAAACAGTCCTGCAGCCATAAATTATCATATGTAATACACTCACAAAATGAAAGGTGTGTGCGTGTGTGTGTACGTGTTTGTGCGTGAGTGCATGTATGAGATAATGTATGTAATGAAAATGCTCTGCTTTGTAAATATTTTGATGTAATAATAGTCTTAGTCAATTCTATCAATTTTATCCAATCCTATCTTATCTTCAATCTTACCTGTTTGTAATTTTCTTATATGTAATGTTGCATTTTAGATGGTAACTGCACTGTACATGCATGTAATTTCTGTAATTGTTTTGATGTTTTACTGATGTATGCCTAGATCCCACATTATTTACTGTCGCCTGCCACCCAGGGACTACAGATGAAAATTATCTGAGAGCAATATCTGGCACAATATATTTATTGAGCATTGTCCCTGTCAAATAAATTAAATAAAGGATGTTCTCGATAACAGAGGTTAATGAACAAGACCACTCCCAATGCACCTTCCTATTCGTCCGCACGCCTATATATATATATATACCACCTTCATTCCCACAATCCCCGCTCGTCTCTTTTCTACGTGGTTCATTCGTAACTAGACAGCCCAAACGCTCAGCAAGACTTCGCTTACCTTAAGCATGGAATCCAAAATCCAACTGAGTCCCTCGGACAGAGAATTATTCCAAGACTCCGATGCTCCAGAGGAATCTCCTCAATCTGTTCCCGAAACTCCCGTTTCTCCTCCGCCGCCCGCCTGCACACCGCGATTTTTGTACTTTTACCACGAAGCACCGCCTGCTCGCTCCAGCCGGGGTGCTTACATTCCAAACTATGCTCCCCCCGCGGTGACCAGCGAGGCTGCTCTCCCCTTCGAGCTCCGAGCCGTAGGAATTCCAGCCAGCGGTCTCCAGAGCCGTCTCATAGCAGCAACACCCCTCGTCAACCGTGGCACCCAGAAGCGAGAGCCCGTGGCCCCCCAGCAAGGTTTACCTCAGCTCGCACTCCAGGCTCACCTGAGGCCCCACGTTGGATCGTTGCCAGTCTCCATCGGGCACTCGAGCAAAAGATAATCCCCTTCCACTGCTCCGACAACAAGGCCAGACTGCTAAAATTATACACTGACTCCCTTGGCAACGCAGCTGATCCTCAGTATCCGCCTGCAGCAGACCACACAGCTCTACTAGGTTCTGCCACCAGCCCCCCCAGCATCAAGGTCACCCCGCTCGGCGACATCCTCTCCGCTCCGGATTTGGCGGAAGCCATTCCTTCATGGAATATATCCATGCATGCCTTCCGCAAACCAGCCAGTTCCCCCTGTGCCTGCTCCCCCCCGTTCACGACCCCTTCGGTCTCTTTTCGTCCCTTGTTTCGTCCCTGTGTCCGCAGGCTGCACTTTTGCCCCATGCACATACTCTCTCCCCCCCGATCCTTTCCGCCGGACGAAAACCGGCTTCCGCAGCTCCGTCAGCCCACAACCGAATTCTCCAAGGCTCCAGCAGTTCTGGTGTTAACCCACCTATACCCGGAGAAGCACCCACCGTTGCTTCATCTGCTGATCTCTTTCCCACTGCACTCTCTCTCCCCGCCCCCCTCCCCTTCCCCGTTTCCCCATGCTATTAATTCTGTGCTTCCTCCTACAGGTCCGCCCCTCCCACCAACTACTTCGGCCGTCCCCAGGCAGTTTAACCCACCACACTTCCAGTACACTCTAGCCACCGCCCTACCCCCTGTTCGCCCCTTGCAGCCTATTCCAAATCCTTCGCCATTATACCCCGTTCTTAGACAACAGATTTTATCCGGTACTTACGTCGATCTGGCTAAGCTCATTCAACCATCCTTTCTCCAATTCATATTTCAGTTGCAAAATCCAAACCATCCTCGGCCCTGCTCAGCTCAAACACCCAACCCCCGCTCGTTATAGGGAACTTAACTCTAAACGAGTTCGCATTCGCCTTTTCACTCTACCGGGATACAATCTGCCAGTCCTTTCCTCATCGTAAGCAAGAAGTGGACGATTACCTCACACTCATTCTCGTCCTCACTTTACCCTTTGGCGGCACGGGTTTTTCATGATTGGACCTTACTCCGAGCCACCTTTTCCCGTTTTTCGCATCTGCCCTATCGTAATAGCTACCTG